AATGTAGTGCCAGAGGTCGATGTTTACACGCAGCGTGTTTGCTCGTCTCTGCAGGCTGACAATGATTAACTCTGTCACTCGGGAAAGGGCCAATTGTTGGGAGAGTTTTACTGTCCAGAAGCTGTCCACCACCATCACCACGAGCACCACCACCACCGCAACCGCCACACGTAGCGAAGTCGACCACCACCACCACGACCACCACCACAACCACCACCACCACTACCACCACCACCACCGCACGTAGATAAGTCGACCACCACCACCACCACTACCACCACCACCTCCACTACCACCACCACCACTACCACCACCACCACCGCACGTAGATAAGTCGACCACCACCACCACCACTACCACCACCACAACCACCACCACCACTACCACTACCACCACCGCACGTAGATAAGTCGACCACCACCACCACCACCACCGCCACCACCACCGCCAAAACCACTACCACCACCACCACTACCACCACCACCACTACCACCACCACCACCGCACGTAGATAAGTCGACCACCACCACCACCACTACCACCACCACCTCCACCACCACCACCACCACCTGAGTAGAGAAGTCGACCACCACCACCACCAACACCACCAACACCACCACCAACACCCCCACCACCACCGCCACCACCACCACCGCCACCACCTGAGTAGAGAGTGTGGGTGTTGGTGGTGAGTAGAGACAGCGGCCATGTCGGTTGGGGTGGTGAGTTTCCTGCTCCTGCTGCTGAGCTGCTGGGCAGCGCTCCCCATCGCAGCCTCGGGTGAGCAGAGCGGCAGCTCCAAACCTCACCCTCACCACACGCTCACCCTCACCACACCCTCACCCTCACCACACCCTCACCACACACTCACCCTCACCCTCACCACACCCTCACCACACCCTCACCCTCCCCACACCCTCACCACACGCTCACCCTCACCCTCACCACACCCTCACCACACCCTCACCCTCACCACACCCTCACCACACGCTCACCACACCCACACCCTCACCCTCACCACACCCTCACCACACCCTCACCCTCACCACACCCTCACCACACCTTCACCACACCCTCACCACACCCTCACCATACCCTCACCACACCCTCACCACACCCTCACCACACCCTCACCACACGCTCACCCTCACCCTCACCACACCCTCACCACACGCTCACCCTCACCCTCACCACACCCTCACCACACCCTCACCCTCCCCACACCCTCACCCTCACTCTGACCACACCCTCACCCTCACCACACCCTCACCCTGACCTCACTCTAACCCTGACCCCAATGCTAAACATAACCCTGACTCTAACCCTGACCTTCACTCTAACCCTAACCCTGACCCTGATTCTAACCCTGACACTAACCCTGACCCTGACTCTAACCCTGACACTAACCCTGACCCTAACCCTGACCCTAACACTAACCCTGACCCTGACCCTAACCCTGACTCTGACTCTGACCATAACCCTGACTCTAACCCTGACCTTCACTCTAACCCTGACCCTGACAATAAACCTCACCCTGACCCTCACCCTGACCCTAACCCTGGCTCTAACTCTAACCCTGACTCTAACCCTGACCCTGACAATAACCCTGACCCTCACCCTGACCCTAACCCTGGCTCTAACACTAACCCTGACTCTAACCCTGACCCTGACAATAACCCTGACCCTCATCCTGACCCTAACCCTGGCTCTAACACTAACCCTGACTCTAACCCTGACCCTGACAATAACCCTGACCCTCATCCTGACCCTAACCCTGGCTCTAACACTAACCCTGACTCTAACCCTGACCCTGACAATAACCCTGACCCTCATCCTGACCCTAACCCTGGCTCTAACTCTAACCCTGACTCTAACCCTGACCCTGACAATAACCCTGACCCTCATCCTGACCCTAACCCTGGCTCTAACACTAACCCTGACTCTAACCCTGACCCTGACAATAACCCTGACCCTCATCCTGACCCTAACCCTGGCTCTAACACTAACCCTGACTCTAACCCTGACCCTGACCCTCACTCTAACCCTGACCCTAACCCTGACCCTAACCCTGACCCTGACTCTCACTCTAACCCTGACCCTCACTATAACCCTGACTCTGACCCTAACCCTGACCCTGACCTTGACTCTAATCCAGACCTTCACTCTAACCCTTTCTGACAGACCTGTTCTTCACTTGAGGACGGCTGCTTGCGTTGTGGCCGAAACGTCGTGAGAATTTTACCTTATTATGTTTTATTTTTATTATTTTATTATTTCCCTTCTACGTGACTTTACCGAAAGAACCAATAAGATGAATCCCTGCATAATATTTTATTATGTTTTATTTTTATTATTTTATTATTTCCCTTCTACGTGATGACTTTACCGAAAGAACCAAGAAGATCAGTCTGTGAACGCCTGGGCGTGTGCATCTTTGTCTCTGGTGGTGCAGCGGCAGAAGATGGTGAAGAAGGTGGAGGTGGAGGAGGTGGTGGAGGAGGTGGACAAGGAGCGACCGCCACTGACGAAGAGTGCAGCGACTTCTCCAAGCTGGACCTGGGAGATGCCTTCCGAGGCACCGAGGTGAAGGTGCGATTCCTGCTCTATCCCGCGGGTCTCCGCCGCGCCTGCGGCAAACTCCTCAACGCCAGCGCCGCCGGCAAGCTGCTCGCACCCACGGCGCCCGGTAGGGGAGACACGGGGACATCATTGGGACACCACGGGGACATGGGGATGGAGACACGGGGACACCACGGGGACATGGAGACACGGGGATGGAGACACGGGGACATGGGCATGAAGACACAGAGAGACGGGCATGGAGACACGGGGACATGGGGGGATGAAGGGATGGAGATATGGGGACACGGGACATGGGGACACGGGGACACGGAGACATGGAGACATGGGGGGATGGAGACACAGAGACACGGGGACATGGGGGGATGGAGACATGGGGATGGAGACACGGGGACACGGAGACACGGGGACACGGGGACATGGGGGGACACGGGGACACGGAGACATGGGGACATGGGGACATGGAGACACGGGGACACGGGGATGGGGGGACACGGGGACACGGAGACATGGAGACATGGAGAAATGGGGACATGAGGATGGAGACATGGAGACACGGGGATGGGGACACGGGGACACACTACTACACTATACACCACACTACACTATAGTGCTGTACTAGTAGACTACACTATACACTACTACATTATACACTACATGATACACTACACTATACACTACTACCCCTGAACTCGTACCCCTGAAATCGTACCCCTGAACCCTGAACCCATACCCCTGAACCCGTACCCCTGAACCCGTACCCCTGAACCCGTACCCCTGAACCCATCCCCCTGAACCCTGAACCCGTACCCCTGAACCCGTACCCCTGAACCCGTACCCCTGAACGCGTACCCCTGAACCCGTACCCCTGAACCCATCCCCCTGAACCCTGAACCCGTACCCCTGAACCCGTACCCCTGAACCCGTACCCCTGAACGCGTACCCCTGAACCCGTACCCCTGAACCCATCCCCCTGAACCCTGAACCCGTACCACTGAACCCGTACCCCTGAACCCGTACCCCTGAACCCGTACCCCTGAACCCGTACCCCTGAACCCGTACCTCTGAACCCGTACCCCTGAACACGTACCCCTGAACCCTGAACCCGTACCCCTGAACCCGTACCCCTGAACACGTACCCCTGAACACGTACCCCTGAACACGTAACCCTGAACCCTGAACCCGTACCCCTGAACACGTACCCCTGAACCCTGAACTCGTGCCCCTGAACCCGTGATGGAGGAGGTGGGGTGCAGGAGAGGCGAGTGACGTTTATCATCCACGGATTCCGCATCTCCGGATCCAAGCCGGTGTGGCTGGACAGCATGGTGGCGACACTTCATGCGGTGCGCCACCACCACCACCAACACCACCACCAACACCACTACCACTACCATCACTACCACCACCACTACCACCACTATCACCACCACTACCACCACTATCACCATCACTACCACTATCACCACCACTACCACCACCACTACCACCACTATCACCACCACTACCATCACTACCACCACCACTATCACCACCACCACTACCACCACTATCACCATCACTACTACAACCACCACCACCACCACTACCACCACCACTATCACCACCACCACTATCACCATCACTACTACAACCACCATCACTACTACAACCACCACCACCACTACCACCAACAACACCACTATCACCACCACCACTACCACCAACAACACCACTATAACAACCACTATCACCATCACTCAGGGGCGTTTTCTTCATTAGGGCGATTGGGCGACGCACCACCAATGTCATTCAACCACAGAGTCACGCTAGGCGTCACTGCAGCCTCTGGATATAGTCCAATCAGCGTCATGTCACGTTCTGTGGAGTACCGCCTCTTTTTGGGCGATTTCACTCCGGCTGAGAATCGCCCCGAGTGGCCCCATAGACTTACATTCAAAGATGTTTTTTTTTCGAACGGGGGCGCTCCAATGCATTCTCTATGGCTTCCGGGAGGGCTCGCCCTAACGTGCTTACGTCATCATACGTAAGCACGTTTCATCCAACAATATAATTTATCGCCACCTAGTGGAATCTTTAATAAAATAAACTTGAGTGGTTTGTTTTAATAGTGAGTATAGAAACAAACAAGATGTATTGTAAGAGTCACTTAATTTTTCATTAATATTAAAGAAGTGAAGTTGCCTTTACATGCTTAAGCTGTAAAATTATCCATTGCATGGGTGGACCTTATCCTTATCAATCATCCAGACATTTGCCCCCCCTGAGAGATTTTGCAGGAGCCGCCACTGCCATCACTACCACCACTATCACCGCCATCACTAGCACCACCACCACCACTACCACCACCACTACTACAACCAACACCACTACCAACACTACCAACACTACCAACACCACCACCACCAGCACCATCACCAGCACCACCACCACCACCACTACAATCACTATCACCACCACCACCACCACAACCATTGATGCTGCTTGTGGTGCTGGTGGTGATGAAGGTGGTGGTGGCAATGTCCGATGATGACGATGTGGATGATGACGTGGATGATGCGGATGATGATGTGGATGATGATGATGTTGTGGATGATGATGATAATGTTGATGATGATGACGATGATGACGTGGATGATGATGACGATGATGACGATGATGATGACGTGGATGATGACGATGATGATGATGACGATGATGATGACGTGGATCATGATGATGACGATGATGATAATGACGATGATGATGACGTGGATGATGATGACGATGATGATGGCGATGATGACGATGATGATGATGAGGATGATGATGACGTGGATGATGATGACGATGATGATGACGATGATGTGGATGATGATGACGATGATGACGATGTGGATGATGATGATGATGACGATGATGACGATGATGACGTGGACGATGATGACGATGTTGACGTGGATGATGATGACGATGATGATGACGATGATGACGATGTAGATGATGACGATGTTGACGTGGATGATGATGACGATGATGACGTGGATGATGATGACGTGGACGACAACGAGGTGGGTCACGAGGTGGACGACGACGAGGACGACGTGGATGATGATGATGATGATGACGTGGACGACGACGATGACGACAAGGTGGATGACGACGAGGACGACGAGGTGGGTGACTAGCTGGACGACGAGGTGGGTGACGAGGTGGGTGACGCGGACCGCCCCAGGTGAGGCCGGAGGGCGACGTGATCGTCGTCGACTGGAACCACGGAGCCACTCACCTCGTCTACGGCGCCGGCCGTCAGGAACGTGCGGCCAGTGGCCACCGAACTCGCTCAACTCGTACAGCGCCTGCTGGTGAGTCGTCACCTCGTCATCACCTCGTCATCATGACGTCATCATCATTACCTCGTCATCATGACGTCATCATCATCACGTGGTCATCACCACCTCGTCTACAGCGCGGCCGTCAGGAACGTGCGGCCGGTGGCCACGGAGCTCGTTCAGCTCGTGCAGCGCCTGCTGGTGAGACGTCATCACCTCGTCATCGTCACCACGTGGTCATCTGGTCATCACATCGTCATCACATCGTCATCACCTCGTCATCGTCACGTGGTCATCTCGTCATCACGTGGTCATCATCACGTGGTCATCTCATCATCACCTCGTCATCATCTCGTCATCATCATCTCGTCATCACCTCGTCATCATGACGTCATCATCGTCACGTGATCATCTCGTCATCACCACGTGGTCGTCACCACGTGGTCACACCTCCGTGGGCGTCATTGTCATCATCATTTTCTTCATTATCAACCCCTCTGCTGATTTCATCACCACCACCACCACCATCACCACCACCACCACCATCACAACCACCACCACCATCACCACCATCACCACAACCACCACCACTATCACCACCACCACCACCACCACCACAACCACCACCACCATCACCACCATCACCACCACCACCACCATCACAACCACCACCACCATCACCACCATCACCACAACCACCACCACTATCACCACCACCACCACCACCACAACCACCACCACCACCACCACCATCACCACCATCACAACCACCACCACCATCACCATCATCACCACAACCACCACCACTATCACCACCACCACCACCACAACCACCACACTATCACCACCACCACCACAACCATCACCACCATCACCACAACCACCACCACTATCACCACCACCACCACCATCACCACAACCACCACCACCATCACCACCATCACCACCACCATCACCACCATCACCACCACCACCACCATCACCACCACCATCACCACAACCACCACCACCATCACCACCATCACCACCATCACCACAACCACCACCACTATCACCACCACCACCACCACCATCACCACCACCACCACCATCACCACCACCACCACCACCACCATCACCACAACCACCACCACCATCACCACCACCACCACTATCACCACCACCACCACAACCACCACCACCATCACCACAACCACCACCACTATCACCACCACCACCACAACCACCACTACCACCACCACTACCACCACCACTACCACCACAACCACCACTACCATCACCACCACCACCACGTTGATCATCATCCCTCTCCCTCCTCCTCCTGGCAGCGGGACGGGGAAGTGCTGCCTGGGCGTGTCCACCTCATCGGTGCCAGTCTAGGTGCACACGTCTCGGGCATGGCGGGCGCCGACCTCAACGGAACCCTCGGGCGGATATCAGGTGGACGGAGACAAGATCCATCCACTGCTGGGGGAACACCACCACCAACACCACTACCAACAACACCACTAACATCACCACCACCACCAACACCACCACTACCAACACCACTACTACCAACACCACCACTAGCCCCACCACTACCAACACCACCACCACTACTACCAACACCACCACTAGCCCCACCACTACCAACACCAACACCACCAACACCACTACCAACACCACCACTAACATGACCACCACTAGCCCCACCACTACCAACACCACGACGTTCATCACCACCACCACCAACACCACCACTACCAACACCACTACTACCACTACTACCACCACCACTACTACCACTAGCCCCACCACTACCAACACAACCACTACCACTACTACCACCACCACTACTACCACCACCACTACTACCACTAGCCCCACTACTACCAACACCACCACGTTCATCACCACCAACACCACTACTACCAACACCACTACCAACACCACCACCACCACTACCCCCCACTACCCCCCCCCTACCACCACCCTCCCCCCCACCACCACCAACACCACCACCATCACCACCACCAACACCACCACCACCACCACTAGCACCACCACTAGCACCAACACCCCCACCAACACCACCACCACCAACACCACCAACACCACCACCACCACTAGCACCAACACCACCAATACCCCCACCAACACCACCACCACCAACACTACCACCACCAACACCACCACCACGACCACCAACACCACCACCACCACCACCCCCACCACTACCCCCCCCCCTACCACCACCCTCCCCCCCACCACCACCAACACCACCACCATCACCACCACCAACACCACCACCACCACCACTAGCACCAACACCACCAACACCCCCACCAACACCACCAACACCACCACCAATACCACCACCACTAGCACCACCACTAGCACCAACAACCCCACCAACACCACCACCACCAACACCACCAACACCACCACCACCACTAGCACCAACACCACCAACAACACCACTAACATCACCACCACCACCAACACCACCACTACCAACACCACTACTACCAACACCACCACTAGCCCCACCACTACCAACACCACCACCACTACTACCAACACCACCACTAGCCCCACCACTACCAACACCAACACCACCAACACCACTACCAACACCACCACTAACATGACCACCACTAGCCCCACCACTACCAACACCACGACGTTCATCACCACCACCACCAACACCACCACTACCAACACCACTACTACCACTACTACCACCACCACTACTACCACTAGCCCCACCACTACCAACACAACCACTACCACTACTACCACCACCACTACTACCACTAGCCCCACTACTACCAACACCACCACGTTCATCACCACCAACACCACTACTACCAACACCACTACCAACACCACCACCACCACTACCCCCCACTACCCCCCCCTACCACCACCCTCCCCCCCACCACCACCAACACCACCACCATCACCACCACCAACACCACCACCACCACCACTAGCACCAACACCACCAACACCCCCACCAACACCACCAACACCACCACCAATACCACCACCACTAGCACCACCACTAGCACCAACACCCCCACCAACACCACCACCACCAACACCACCAACACCACCACCACCACTAGCACCAACACCACCAACACCCCCACCAACACCACCACCACCAACACCACCACCACCAACACCACCACCACGACCACCAACACCACCACCACCACCACCCCCACCACCACCACCCCCATCACCACCACCACCACCACCACCTCCCCCCCACCCCCCCACCACCCCCACCACCACCACCTCCCCCCGTCCGCCTTTGTCTCCCCGCGTCTCCCGCAGCGCTGGACGCGGCGGGTCCCGAGTTTGAGGATCGGAACGCCGACGAGCGCCTGGACCACACGGACGCCGCATTCGTGGACGTCTACCACAGCGACACCGACAGTGGGGACAGGGGGACTGAGACACGGGGACACGGGGACACGGGGAGACACACGGGGAGACACGGGGACACGGGGCACGGGGAGACACGGGGACACGGGGCACGGGGAGACACGGGGACACAGGGACATGGACACGGGGAGACACACAGGGACACGGGGAGATGGAGACACGGGGACACGGGGAGACACACGGGGACACACGGGGATATGGACACGGGGAGACACGGGGACACAGGGACACGGGGACAGGGACACAGGACACAGGGACACAGGGACACAGGGACACGGGGACAGGGACAGGGACACGGGGACAGGGGGACACGGGGACACAGGACACAGGACACATGGACGGGGACACGGGGACACGGGGACAGGGGGACATGGAGACACGAGGACACGGAGTTGTGGACGTGTACCACAGCGACACCGACAGTAGAGGCCGGCCGAAACTGAATTTCTGGTTTCGGCCGAAACCGCAACCAGACCGAAAGTTAAAGATTGACTTTCGGCCGAAACCGAAACAGAACGGTACATAACCAAAGTTACCGAACACAAGATTTATGAAAGAAGTCACGATGCAATGCTACTTTAATAAAAAAAAATAATCTAGAACTAATCATTCAGAGCCTGCAGTAAGAGTCGCTAAATATCAAATCTTGAGGTGTTACTTACTTAGTAATTATATCCAAACAAACGAATGTTGCAGTGAAGAAACAACAGTTTTTCCGCATTCAGCCAGACAGGTCGTATATACAGTGATTCCTCGGTTCACGAACTTAATTCGTGAACTGACTCTGGTCGCGAACCGAATTGGTCGTGAACCGAGGCACATTTCCCACAGGATTCAATGTAAATCCGGTTAATCCGTTCTGACCTTTTTTTTGGTTTTTGAAGTTCAAAAATATGAAACAAATGACAATACACATTAGTACTGTACAGTATAGTAATGTATAAAGAGAGAACACTAACCTTGCTTGAGATGACTTCAGTAAGCACTCAAACGGGTGAACTGTACAATACAGTAAGTACAGTATTGTACAGTACAGTAGTACAGTACTGTATGTGCTGAAAAGCACACCAAAAAGCAAAAAGTCACTGAAAGTGTCTTCACAGTACTCACAGTACTTCTTTCTGTGTCTCTTCTTCTCTCCACGATCTTCCTACAGGAAGTCACGACCACGTGACAGCCTGGAAACAGCATTAAAATGGCCGCGGCTCCTGTTCGTGAACCGAGTTGTTCGTGAACAGAAGCAAAGTTCGTGAACCGGAGCGTATTTTTAATGAACTTTTCTGTTCGTGAACCGAGTTGTTCGTGAACAGAAGCAGAGTTCGTGAACCGGAGCGTATTTTTAATGAACTTTTCTGTTCGTGAACCGAGTTGTTCGTGAACAGAAGCGGAGTTCGTGGACCGGAGCGTATTTTTAATGAACTTTTCTGTTCGTGAACCGAGTTGTTCGTGAACAGAAGCAGAGTTCGTGAACCGGAGGGTATTTGTATGAACGTTTCTGTTCGTGAACCGAGTTGTTCGTGAACAGAAGCGGAGTTCGTGGACCGGAGCGTATTTTTAATGAACTTTTCTGTTCGTGAACCGAGTTGTTCGTGAACAGAAGCAGAGTTCGTGAACCGGAGCGTATTTTTAATGAACTTTTCTGTTCGTGAACCGAGTTGTTCGTGAACAGAAGCGGAGTTCGTGGACCGGAGCGTATTTTTAATGAACTTTTCTGTTCGTGAACCGAGTTGTTCGTGAACAGAAGCAGAGTTCGTGAACCGGAGCGTATTTTTATGAACTTTTCTGTTCGTGAACCGAGTTGTTCGTGAACAGAAGCGGAGTTCGTGGACCGGAGCATATTTTTATGAACTTTTCTGTTCTTGAACCGAGTTGTTCGTGAACAGAAGCGGAGTTCGTGAACCGGAGCGTATCTTTATGAACTTTTCTGTTCGTGAACCGAGTTGTTCGTGAACAGAAGCGGAGTTCGTGGACCGGAGCATATTTTTATGAACTTTTCTGTTCGTGAACCGAGTTGTTCGTGAACAGAAGCAGAGTTCGTGAACCGGAGCATATTTTTTAATGAACTTTTCTGTTCGTGAACCGAGTTGTTCGTGAACAGAAGCAGAGTTCGTGAACCGGAGCATATTTTAATGAACTTTTCTGTTCGTGAACCGAGTTGTTCGTGAACAGAAGCAGAGTTCGTGAACCGGAGCATCTTTTTATGAACTTTTCTGTTCGTGAACCGAGTTGTTCGTGAACAGAAGCGTTCGTGAACCGAGGTATCACTGTACATTAGCAGACCGTAGTTGCGGCTGTAACCTTGCTCCCAAGCTGCTGCTGCTGACGTATGTGTGTGTTTGCAGCCTATCGCATAGAAATGCCTAGCGCCGACTGACCGGCCGAGTGATAGACGTAGCACTAGCGTTATATTCTAAAAATAGATCTTCGCCGCCACTTTGCCTGACGCTCCATCTCAGGCTACCTGGGTGGAGGTCACCTTTGCCTTGACCTTTGTGTTCAACCCCCCCCCCCCCACCCCCCCCCCCGTGTCCCTCTCTCTGGGCAGTGTTCGGCATCAAAACGTCGGTCGGTCACGTGGACTTCTACATCAACGGCGGCGAAGACCAGCCGGGCTGCCCAAAAACCATCCTGCAGGGTGAGGAGTGAACTCACTACACTATACACTACACTACTATACACTACACTATACACTACACTATACACTACACTATACACTACACTATACACTACACCACACTATACTACTATACACTACACTACTATACACTACACTATACACTACACTACACTATACACTACACTACTATACACTACACTACTATACACTACACTATACAGTATACACTACACTACTATACACTACATTATACACTACACTATACACTACACTATACTACTATACACTACACTATACACTACTATACACTACATTATACACTACATTATACACTACATTATACACTACACTATACACTACACTATACACTACTATACACTACATTATACACTACACTATACACTACATTATACACTACATTATACACTACACTATACACTACACTATACACTACTATACACTACATTATACACTACACTATACACTACACTATACACTACACTATACACTACACTATGCACTATACTATACACTACACTATACACTACACTATACACTACACTATGCACTACACTATACACTACACTATACACTACTATACACTACACTATACACTACACTACACTATACACTACACTATGCACTACACTATACACTACACTATGCACTATACTATACACTACACTATACACTACACTATACACTACACTACACTATACACTACACAATACACTACACTATACACTACACTATACACTACTATACACTACACTATACACTACACACTACTATACACTACACTATACACTACACTATACACTACACTACTATACACTACACTATACACTATTATACACTACTATACACTACACTATACACTACTATACACTACACTATACACTACACTATACACTACTATACACTACACTATACACTATACTACTATACATTACACTATACACTACACTACTATACACTACACTATACACTACACTATACACTACACTATACACTACACTACTATACACAACTATACACTACACTACACACTACACTACTATACACTACACACTACACTATACACTACTATACACTACTATACACTACACTATACACTACACTATACACTACACTACTATACACTACACTACTATACACTACACTATACACTACTATACACGACACAACTATACACTACACTATACACTACACTACTATACACTACACTATACACTACACTACTATACACTACACTACTATACACTACACTATACACTACACTATACACTACATTGTGAGCCTTTTGGCGTCATCTGGTCCAACACCATGTGAGACTAGGCTCTAAGAAAAGCTGTCTCGGGTGTGGACCAATCAACTTCAAGGACAGTGCATACCTTATGCCAGAAAAAAGTGTGTTGACCAGTGAATTATCGCAAGATCGAAATATCGTAAGTCGTACCCATCTCAATTCGGGGACTACCTGCACATGAGAACTGAAACTCGCCTCAACGGCACTTGCCCCAACATTCTGCCGAGGCTACACATGGGGTCGGGCGCCTTTGTCTGTGTCTTTGTCTCTGCCAGGGAAGGAGTTTGTGATCTGCGACCACCAGCGCTCCTCGTTTCTGTTCCTGGCGTCGATGCGAGCTCCGTGTAGCACTGCGGCGTTCCCCTGCGCATCGCGAGAGGCCCTGCGGGAGGGTCTATGCTCCGACTGCAACGTCGGACCAATCGGGGTCTGTCCCCTGCTAGGTGACGACGAATCACACACGTGCATACAGCACATACATCACATCATATACATCACATACACATACATTACACACACACATCACACACATCACATATACATCACACACATCACATATACACACACATACATCACATTACATATACATCACACACACATACATTACACACATTACATTACACACATACATTACACACATTACACACATCACACACATCACATATACATCACACACACATACATTACACACATTACATTACACACATACATTACACACATTACACACATCACACACATCACATATACATCACACACACATACATTACACACATTACATTACACACATACATTACACACATTACACACATTACACACATCACACACATCACACACACATACATTACACACACACATCACATATACATCACACACACACACATTACACACATTACACACATCACACACATCACACACACACATCACACACATCACATCACACACACACCACACATCACACACACACAGCACACACACTTACACACATCGTTATCATTGTCATGGATACCTAAATCATCATCGTCATGGTCTATTCACTGCTGGATCAACACATCAGCAGCACGCGGTGTGTGACCCCCTCCCACGTGACCCCCCCACGTGACCCCCCTCTCCCGTGACCCCCTCCCACGTGACCCCCCGTGCACACGTGACCCCCTCCCACGTGACCCCCCTCCCCCATAACCCCCCCTCCCACGTGACTCCCCTCCCCCGTGACCCCCTTCCCACGTGACCCCCTCCCCCGTGACCCCTCCTCCCACGTGACCCCCCTCCCCCGTGACCCCCTTCCCACGTGACCCCCCCCCCCACGTGACCCCCCCCCCCCACGTGACCCCCCCTCTCCCGTGACCCGCTCCTCCGTGACCCCCCTCCCCCGTGACTCCCCTCCCACGTGACGCCCCCCCTCCCACGTGACCCCCCTCCCCCGTGACCCCCTCCCCTGGACGCCCCCCCCACGTGACCCCCTCCCACGTGACCCCCCCCCCAGGCTACTGGGTAGAGCGCTGGCTGCCCCCCCAGCGCGTTCAACTTCAGCGTAGTGGCCGCCTACGCAGAGACATCCAACAACTCGCCCTTCGTGGTGAGCGCACTCACCCCCCCCCCACTAGCCCCCACCCCTACACCCCCCCTAGCCCCCACCCCTTCACCCCCCACTAGCCCCCACCCCCTACACTCACCCCCCCCCACTAGCCCCCACCCCCTCACTCCCCACTAGCCCCCACCCCTTCACCCCCCACTAGCCCCCACCCCCTACACTCACCCCCCACTAGCCCCCACCTCCTCACCCCCCACCAGCCCCCACCCCTTCACCCCCCACTAAGCCCCCACCCCCTACACTCACCCCACTAGCCCCCACCCCTTCAACCCCCCACTAGCCCCCACCCTCACCCCCCACTAGCCCCCACCCTCACCCCACTAGCCCCCACCCTTCACCCCCCACTAGCCCCCACCCCCTACACCCCCCACTAGCCCCCACCCTTCACCCCCCACTAGCCCCCACCCTTCACCCCCCACTAGCCCCACCCCTTCACCCCCCACTAGCCCCCACCCCCTACACCCCCCACTAGCCCCCACCCTTCACCCCCCACTAGCCCCGACCCTTCACCCCCACTAGCCCCCACCCCCTACACCCCCACTAGCCCCACCCTTCACGCCCCCACTAGCCCCCACCCTTCACCCCCCACTAGCCCCCACCCCTTCACCCCCCACTAGCCCCCACCCCCTACACCCCCCACTAGCCCCCACCCTTCACCCCCCACTAGCCCCCACCCTTCACCCCCCACTAGCCCCCACCCTTCACCCCCCCCACTAGCCCCCACCCTTCACACCCCCACTAGCCCCCACCCTTCACACCCCCACTGCCCCCACCCCCTACACCCCCACTAGCCCCCACCCTTCACCCCCCCACTACCCCCACCCTTCACCCCCCAACTAGCCCCCACACTTCACCCCCCCCACTAGCCCCCACCCGTCACACCCCCACTAGCCCCCACCCCCGCACCACCCCACTAGCCCCCACCCCCTTCACACCCCACTAGCCCCCACCCCTTCACCCCCACTAGCCCCCCCCCCTCACCCCCACTAGCCCCCACCCCCCTCACCCCCCCACTGAGCCCCCACCCCTTCAACCCCCCACTAGCCCCCACCCCCTTCACCCCCCACTAGCCCCCACCCCCTCACTCACCCCCCACTAGCCCCCACCCCCCTCACCCCCACTAGCCCCCACCCCTTCACCCCCCACTAGCCCCCACCCCCTACACTCACCCCCACTAGCCCCCACCCCCCTCGACCCCCCACTAGCCCCCACCCCTTCACCCCACACTAGCCCCCACCCCCTACACTCACCCCCCACTAGCCCCACCCCCTCACCCCCCACTAGCCCCCACCCCTTCACCCCCCACTAGCCCCCACCCCTACACTCACCCACCACTAGCCCCCACCCCCTCACCCCCCACTAGCCCCCACCCCTTCACCCCCACTAGCCCCACACCCCTACACTCAACCCCCCACTAGCCCCCACCCCCTCACCCCCCACTAGTCCACCACCCCCTCACGCCCCACTACACTCA